GATTATGCAATTGAACATTACAGTCACCCCAGGCCATTCTGTGTTTTAAAAGAAGTGTTTATGGCCATATGCTGCCAAACAACCATAATACCACTTAACCTTAGTTCAACTGCTGCTTGAATGAACTTGTTAGGGTTACACTAAAATACAAATGCAAAACAAATACTAAGCCAAGGAATGTGATGTTAATATATTGAAAGACAATTAAAAATTCCTTATATAATGCTCCTTAGTCACTAGGACAGAATATACATGAATATTTAAATTCTACATGCTGAAAATTTTAACAAAGAACACAGATAAAAATAACAAATTGTAAATTTTGGAAGAAGAAGTGAATTCCTCTAAAAGGAGTGTCATCTCAAAAAACAGCCTTTTGTAGGTGGCAATAAAGTACAATGTCATTTCTGGATTCATCCCAGTAAATTAATCTGGATAGAGGAGAAAAAGAAGAAGCTGAAAATTTTGTTTAAATGCATTGTTTAGAGTAGGTCTGATTTGAATCTACGCATATCAATAGCAATTAACAGTCACTACCACCCAGTCGCTTCCTGTGATCTAAACCCCACTTGTGGTATGTGACAAGTTCACACAGGAAGGTGAGCCAATACCCTCATTCTCTTCCATCAATCAACAAATAGGTACTAGCCAAAAATATCTCCTTTAAAAACTGAAAACCAGTAATAAGACAGTATGATAACATCTGAACTGGCTTATCATATTTACTAACCCCTTAATAAAGAGTTCAGCCAACAAGTCTGAGAGTCCATCAATAGATTTCTTTCAACCACTCAGCAACAATATTTCAAGCTTAAAACGCATTAAGGAGACCGGGTAAGGATTAAGAAGCTGTCACCATCCTGTGGCCTCCAGACTACGCCACTTAGAACTGATTTATCATTCAAGTGAAATGTGACACAAGGGAATACGAAGAAAGGTGAAGCCATAATTTTGCTAACACTCCAATTAAAATGATCACTATTGAGAAATAACCAGGCATAGCTCCTTAAAATAATTATGCCTATAATAAAATAATAAGAACAGACATTTTAATGCGCTTAAAGAAACTTTGAGGCTGCCTTCTGTTACTTTCATCAATAAAGACAGACCTTATGCCAGGCGCAGAGGCTCATGCCTGTAATTCTAGCATTCAGGGAAGTGGAGGCGGGAGGATAGCTTGAGCTCAGGTATTCGAGACCAGCCTGAGCGAGAGTGAGACCCTGTCTCTACTAAAAAAAAAAAGAGAGAGAGAAAAAAAATAGAAAAAATTAGCCAGGTGTAGTAGCACATGCCTATAGTCCCAGCTACTCGAGAGGTTGAGACAGAAGGATGGCTTGAACCCAGGAGTTTGAGGCTGCTGTGAGCTAGGCTGACACCACAGCACTCGTCTCATTCATTTGAGACTCTGTCTCAAAAAAAAAAAAAAAATAGACACAGACCATTTTAATCTTTCATCTGTCACGGATAACAACCCATTCCGAAAATGTTCTCCTTATTACTCAAGGTACGGGGAAGCATTACTAGAATTCCATTTTGCAATTCATTTAGATTACACTGCTGAACTTTCTCACAGGTATTTCTTACTCACATTGATGTTACTCAATATGATGGCTGCTAACTATTAATATAAAATGAACTATGTATACTTAGTCCAGTACTATTTTACCAGTGAGGAAACAGCATTATTTGTTAAGGTCATGCTGTTAGTTAACAAGTAGAATTCAAGTAATCCTAGCACTCTGGGAGGCCGAGGTGGGAGGATCGCTTGAGGTAAGGAGTTTGAGACAAGCCTGGGCAAGAGCAGGACCCTGTCTCTATTAAAAGTAGAAAAATTAGCCAGGTGCAGTGTCTAGCATCTGCAGACCCAGCTACTCAGGAGGCTGAGGCAGTAGGATCACTGCGCCCAGGTTGTAGTGAGCTATGATGATGTCACTGCACTCTAGCCAGGGTTACAGAGCGAGGCTGTCATTCATTCATTCATTCATTTGTTCATTCATATATACATACATGCATACACACATACATACATACATACATAGAAGGCAAGATCAACTCCTCATTTAGTGGCCTTTTTCACTCTAAAATACCATTCTTATTATTAAATTCAGTAAATATTTGCCTTTATTACATATTAGCATATTGCTTTTATTATAAATATATTCTAAAAAATGGATACTCCAGAGCATGAACTATTTCTTAAAGTATTATTGGTATCAAAAAGCAAGACATACAAATATAAGTAATTTAGAAAGTAAACCGTGATATCATGTATACAAGAACCATCTCTGATTCAGCAAAACCCTGCAAAACTGTTTAGCATCACAGGTGGAAGCAAGACCTTTGAATCCTAGATCCATAACTGACCTTGGGCAAGAGACTTGACCTCACTGATTCTCCATTTCCAAATGCTTAAACTCGACAGCACCACCAGTTTCACTGGCTTATTAAGAGGAAGAAATAAGATCATATATGTAATAAACTCTTAGCACACACGTGTATAAGCTCTTAGTGCTTACTATAGATAAGTATTGGCTAAGATTGTTGTGTTGCCATTATTGAGGGGTAAGTATACAGCAATCACGCTAAAGGAGTTAAACTTAAGCAATACACAGACTAGTCTTTAAAAGTCTATCCAAATAGTGAAATGAGAGTACCACAAAAATAAACAAAACATACAAAAGCCACATGAAAAAGTTTGCTCAAAAAAGATCTAGTATATGTCACAACAATGAAAAGAAGTGTAAGTTCTATTCTTACTTGAGCAGAAAAGATCTAAGATTTCATACAGAAGACATTTACTACTTAACCCTCAATATCCTACAGATAGAATAAATCTACTAGTAAGAATTAACTAATGTTTTAATAAGAAAGAACTAAGAATGATTAGCTTTTTTATAAAAGTAAAAAATTAGAAACAAGTTAAATGCCCATCAATATAGGAATACGTGAAAAAAATTATGCAGCTATTAAAAAAAGACTGAGAGGGATTTATATATCTTAACATGGAATGACCTGAGACAGTGTTATGTTTTAAAAGGCACAAACACATAAAATAATACTACTTATATTAAGACAAAAACTAAAAAGCTTATGCTATATATATATATGCATATTTGTGCACTTAAATGCATACACAAAGGGTTGAAAGTATGCAACTAATGGTGACCTCAGACATTACTCTGTATAATTCTGTGTTACTTGACTATTTCAGTGAGACTTTATAATTATATTTATATTTATAATATTTAAACCGTAAACTGTAATATTTAAGTAAATATTTGAGGTCTCACATCTATAGTCCTTTCTTTGTATAAATACTTAAATATTTACTGAATACTGTAATATTTATTTATACTTTATTTATAATACTTATAAACCCAAAGAAAAATTAGCCAATAAATGCATTAGGTTAAAAATAAGTTTAAATAAGTTAAATACATTCAAAATAAGTAAAAATGAACTTTAAAAAGCACCTTATACTTTACAAAATCCTTTTAACACATTACCTAATTTGACCCTCATAATACACTTATAGAAATTAAGGTAATGTCCTTACTTTAAAAGTGAGAACAGACACAAATATTTGCTAATTCACAATTAATAAAAGCAGAGCCAAAACAGAAACAAAAGCTCTCAAGTCCTCAATAATATTCAACAGTATAAAGGGCTTCTAAAACCAAAAAGTTGCAGAACCACTGCTGTACATAAGGTAGCAGGGACAAACAGGAAAAAGAGGGATGGAGAGAAACTAGATAAAAAGTAACCATAGGGTTACTTCTAGCCTAGAAGAGATGGAAAGAAATTAGGTCCACATATCATCTGTAGCTTCTTATAAATCCCAAGCCACTTTCTCTCCACTGGGGTGTCACTTTGTCAGTGCCTTAAAAGTTTTGCAAACTAACTTCTGGTAATGTAGTTAGGAAACTAAATCTGCTATAGGAGTCATCCTGCAATGCACTACTGGTAAGTGATTTCTGCATTATTCACTCAGTTGCCACTGTCCCTCTTCAAACAATGCCAACCATTTCAAATTGACCTTTCTGCATTTTAAACTTGAAAAGTAACCATCCTAAAGAGGGACACAAACTAATTTACAAGTGACTCAATACCTCATGATCAGTTAGGAAAATTAGGTAATCGTTTAAAAAGCCAATATATTACTTCTCTGAAGTATGCTTTCACTTGTATCCAGAAACACTATGACAATCCCAACTCAGCACAATTTTTCCATGCAATGTGGTTTTCTGGAATAAGGGTGTGGGGAGGCAGTTATTTGTTTCTTTCTTTATTCGGCACAGTTCCCTCCTGGGGAAAATTCATTTCTAAATACAAGCCCTGTAAATTCCAAATTATTTTCAAGTACAGATCTTTTTCTATAATCTTCTCACGCCCAGAACTGTTACAGTACTTGGGTATGCCACAAAGGTAGGGAAATTATTCCCTACCTTTTTTTTTTTTTTTTTGAGACAGAGTCTCGCTTTGTTGCCCAGGCTAGAGTGAGTGCCGTGGCGTCAGCCTGGCTCACAGCAACCTCAAACTCCTGGCTCAAGCAATCCTCCTGCCTCAGCCTCCCAAGTAGCTGGGAGGGAAATTATTCTTAAAACCATCCATGTCTTTAAACTTTAAGTAAATAGAAAATAGCTATATAGGTAGATTGACGATAAATTGATCAATCGATCAATCATAGGATGGAGGTGGTCGGTATTAGAAGGATGATGCCCCCACCAAAAACCTTAAAATACCTTAAAAACATTGTAAGCAATTTTAAATGAGCATGTGTGTTTTAATTGCCATCATATATTGCTTCTATAATTGTTGTAAGTAGCCAACCTCATTGACACCTCTTAGCTAATACCAAACAGATGGATAACTGTCTGGAGAATTGGATTTGCCACCTTTTTAAAAATTCATCTACACTTCTATTCCAGAAGTCTGGGAAACTCCAGACCTCTGCGAAAGTAGCTGTGTATTATTAAGATAAAATAAAACTAGTTCCTTACCTGAAAGTATAGTCCTTGGATTCTACCTTTTGTAAAACTCTTGGAAATTAGGTTACAGTCAGTACTGCAGGAGATTCAAATTTGAAATCTCACCTATGGATTGAAAAGGGGGAAATAATTAATTTGAAATACATGCACAATGCAGATAAAAATATCAATTTGATCAAAGATGAAATTTTCGTAAACTTGTTAAAGCCAAATGGTTTCTGCAGGAAACCTGTTTTCTGTGACTCAAATCCAAAATGGAAAACGTGGGTGGTTCTTCCTGTCTTACTATTAGAGTCAGCCAATTGGCTGGTGAAGCTTTCACACAACTTCAGCTCAAACTCCAGCCTTCCATCTGCTCTAACACTGCCATACCTTAGCGGAATGGAAGAGGAATAAAGGGTTTCTTCAGCCTCAAAGCAAGTCTTTCATGGGGAACCTTTGGCTTATTCTATCTAAACCATATTTGAACAAACTGCCAAGTTTTTCAAAATTTTAAAGCCAAAAGATATGAAAAATAATGAGAGCTAAACCACAGAATAACTCAAGAACTTTAAAGTTCTCTCTGATTTTGGAGCTGATTCCTAAAAAATGACAACTGCTCTCTCTCAGGTATTCAGCTAAACCAGCAATGTTCAAGTACAGCAGCATCTCTGGCCCCGTTACCTTGACCACAACTGCATCTCTTCCACCTACATGGCACCAACTGTCTGCCAAGATGTGCCTGCCGAGAGAAAGACCATCTCTGAACTTCTAAACAAGTGATTCTGCCAGAATAGGACATAAATCCAATATTTCTGCAGGCTATTTCTGCATATCCACCTAAAGCTAGTAAACTAGCTAATGTGACAGAAATTAAACTGAAAACACAACACCCAACAGTATGCCTCCAGTGAGAAAAAGACCACAAGCACATGAGACTGGCATGGTAAAATAATCACGCCTACGTGGCTGCCCAACTAAATCTTAAATCCTTAAATCACTGGAAAACCTGCGGATACAAGACAATAAAAATTCGGACAGCTGCTTCCAATGGTAATATAAGGACTCCACGTGGCAAACTGCTCAAGGGTAGCAACTAGCCAGTTCCTAAAGATTCCAGGTCCAATTTAAAAATTCCTCATGTCTCAGGAGGCCTTTTTCTCAAAGATGCTAAAAGGCTCATATAGTTTACCCTGCTTAGCAAAAAAAAGGCCCTGTATGGGCCATCAGTGACTGCTCAGCAAGTTCTTTTTTTTTTTTTTTTTTGAGACAGAGTCTCACTTTGTTGCGAGGCTAGAGTGAGTGCCGTGGCGTCAGCGTAGCTCACAGCAACCTCAAACTCCTGGGCTCAAGTGATCCTCCTGCCTCAGCCTCCCGAGTAGCTGGGACTACAGGCATGCACCACCATGCCCGGCTAATTTTTTCTATGTATATTAGTTGGCCAATTAATTTCTTTTTTTTTTTTTTATTTATAGTAGAGACGAGGTCTTTCTTGCTCTTGCTCAGGCTGGTTTCAAACCCCTGACCTTGAGCAATCCCCCCGCCTTGGCCTCCCAGAGTGCTAGGATTACAGGCGTGAGCCACCACGCCCGGCCAGCAAGTTCTTATGTAATGATTCCTCAGGTAGTCACACATGAAAACCTACCAACCAGGCTAACATGGCCCTGGCTCCAAAACGCTCACCTCAACCGAACTATTTCACATAGCGACACTGAAAGGTGAGATACACACACTATTTTATCTGTACAGAGGCACTGAGCATATCACGACCAAATACAGATCATAAGCTTTTACAGCCAGAATCCCAATACCCCATTACCACTGTAATACTAAAAACTTTTACAGATAAAACTAAGACAAAACCTCCTGACTGCCAGCTCGGTGTTCTTAACATTTCACCTGCTTTCTAATCAATTGTGAAAACTATTAATATACTTTGGAGCATAATGAAATCCAGTTACAACTCAATTGCATGATAAATATCTCATTGACCCGTGTGTTGCAAAAGAACAATTTTCATAAAAGATTAAGAAGTAAAACCTCCTAGTGTAGCCTCAGCTAAGGATAGAGGAGGGACACAGTGAGGTTTGGCTCTCGACACACAAGTATGGTCTGATTTTATCCTCAGGAAAAACGTATATACAAACTGTATATACAAATCGCCTCTCTCTTTTCTAAAACTGGTCATTTCTGAAACCAGTACATCTAGCAAAAAGATACAAAACGTGATGTCTTACTACCCTTACACAGAATGTTGAAATGGCAAAAATAGAAACTCCTTCTTCTCAAGTTGAGACTTAAAATATTTTCTAAATAAGGTATATTAACTGCACTATAATTAATTTCTTCTAATATAACATATTTAACTTTAAAACAGATCAAGTAGATATATTTACCCATTGTAGATTTCTTTAAAACTTTATTTTTTTTTAAGTTTTATTAAAAGTTCTAAGACAATAACCTAAGGTGATTGTTGATGCTGTTCATTTTCTCAGCTCCCAAATGACAATTCCTCAAGTAAGCACATTCTTGCAAGACTAAACTTATGCACGTGCTTATACACATAAAAAGAGAAAGACATACATAATTTGTACGGCATGAAATAGCTGCAAGATTTTTTGAAATTTTTAAGATAAAATACAGACCTTGAAACATATTCATTATTCAAACAAACAAAATTCACTACTGCTCCCTGGATTATCTCCAAAGAGAGGCTTGCACACTCCTCTTCTATTAAAGATACTTCAGTGAAAATTTGTGACAAAAATGAGTCTCAATTCTGCCATTAACCAGCTGTGTGATACTGGGCAAATCAATTACGCTTTGGACCTAGGCTTATATAAAAAGCTAGTGCAGTTGATTTCTAAGGTATTTTCTAGGTTTCTTAACATCTTCCTAAGATATTAGCTATCATCTTTATTTGCCTTGAATTCTAAATCTTTATGATGATATCTTTAAATAATAAAAATTAACATTTATAAACTACCATATTGCCCTCAATTGGAGACTACCACCAGCTTAACTAAATGAAAATTTTAGAGCATTGTAGACTTTATCTTCATCAAGTTTATCTCCTTTGCTCATGTTTTAGCTTTTCCAAAAAGGCTTAGAGTACAGAAATATACCATCACCTACAGATGACTCTGCCAAGATGGAAGATCCTGATTCCTCCTCTGTCCCTCACCCCTTCTCCCTCCTCCATCACCTCAATACCCTGATACTCCGAAGCCCAACTTTTTTGGCCACAATGTAAACAATGAAAACCTCTTAAACCAGTTATATTTAAAACCAGCTATGTGTCCGAGTCTACATTTGAGAATCTCCGTATGCATTTTTATCATTTAGTACTCTAGATTTTAATATCTAAAGAATTTGTTCCATTGTGCATATCTGCAAAATTTAATGAGTTTTTCACCTAAATCTGAGTTGTTTATTGCTATATAAGCAAGGAGATTCCAGAAAACTGTATATAATACAATTCACACACTCACTTTCTTTTTTACATACTAACCAACGGCTTTGCCATCCCCAGTAAGTCATGAATAAAATAATCACTAGGACTGAGAGGCTGTCGTTTTACACATAAGAACTGAAAAAAATCAGCTGCTTTTACCAAGATCATTCATTCAACACACATTTATTATCTACCATATGATGGGTACTCTCTATTCTTCATGCTGGAAATACACTCACGAAAGTCTCTGCCTTCATGGAGCTTGTGCTCTAATGGGGTAGACAGTATACACACAATAGACAAACTATACGGGGGATATGTAAAGATATGATTAGAGGGGATACATGCTATTAAAAAGAAAAAGGACAGGCTGGCAGGATAAGGGGATTCAAGAGTAAACAGAGGGCAGGGGGGTTGCAATCGCACACACAGTGTGGTCAGGGTAAGACTCCCTGCAAAGACAGCATCTGAGCAAAGACATGAAGGAGGAGATGAAGGGGGCCAGATCACGGTTCCCTCATAATTAACTTGGAATGACTATGTGTGTAATGGCAAATGCTTTAGCAAAACAGATGCGTATGAGCAAATTTATCAACAACCCAGAGGAGTAAATATAGAAGAGAGCTGTGTGTAAACACTCTTCATTTTTGCAGCTTATTTTACCAAGTGAAACTTACATCTTCCATTAGGCATGCTCAGTGTGTTTTCCCCCAAGTGCTGTTTTGAACAAAATTCTTATTTCTGCAATTGATTTTCCTCACAACTCAAGAACAAATGTCCAAGTGTTCACTGGACACATAAGGGTGCACCAGCGTTTCCCAACTCCACTAAGACATCCTGACCACCACGTCGGGACTCAGATCTCAGGACAGAGAATCCAGGAGGCACTGAAGCTTTTCCCCAGTATAGAGAAACCTCCGCTTTCCTGAGGGTTTAGTGGGGAAAGACTGGGCTGTGAAATCGAGAGGCATTATCGCCAACCAGCTATATAATCTTGAGCAAATCATTACATTCCCTGGGCTTTGGTTTCCTGAACTACAAAATCAGGGTACTGGACCACATGACTTCTGAGTCCTTCTTAGGGCTCAGTCTAGTTCAGAAAAAAAACTTTAGATAAACAGCTATATATTAAAAGTTATAATAGAGACCAGGCATGGTGGCTCACAACAGTAATCCCAGCACTTTGGCACTTTAGGAGGCCAAGGCAGGAGGATCACTTGAGCCTGAGAGTCTGAGGCTACAGTGAGCTATTATGACACCACTGCACTCCAGCCTGGGTGACAGAGTGAGACCCTGACTCCAAAAATAAAAAAAAGTTATAATAATGTTATGCTTTGTAATTCTGCTAACCCATCATCACAGATTCATATTAACCTTTCCTTCAAATAACAGTAATGAATTTATATTGACCCATTCATAAAGTTGCAACTCTTTCTATGATTAAAAGAACAAACTCATAAAAACAGGTCTTGATTTGCCATGGTATTCACCAATGACAAAAGAACCCAAATTTCTCTTGTTTTTAGCTGTACTATTAACATACTCTTGCTAGACTAAGTAGAATTCTAAAGTAACACAACCATGAAACTGCTGGAATTTTAAACATTCTTTATGACTACTCCCCTCCATAACAAATGTTTTTAAAGAATAAGTTTCCTTAAAAGTTTCAGTT